TCATGCACTGCACATGCGATTCTCGAGAATACTGGAAACCAAAAGTTGCGGGAAAGTTGCTTTGCCTTTCTAAAAGACAATCAAATTGGAGCTGCGAAAATTGGCTCTATGCCAGCTACCCGAATGACACTCACGTGATACATAATTCGCCAAAAAAGTTATCTCTTCCGACGTCGGCGCAAATATCGCTTTTTTTGGCGGGATCGTCGTATGAACTTCCCTGACTTTTCCAGATTTTGACAAAAATACTTAAATTCCCTGACTTTTCCCTGAATATTTTGGTCAATTTTCGAATTCTCTGACTTTTCCCGGTTCTCCAGGTAGCGTGGCAACCCTGATGTCACAAAAAATCCATTCTGAATCCATTTTACAATGAAGAGTACTTTATTCTGTCTGTGCACAGAAATTTTTATGGAAAAAAAAGTTAAATGGATTTTTCCTTTGAAATATGAAATTTTTCGTTATTTTTCGTTATAATACTTCCTTTACTTCCTACAAGAAAGTAAAAACGGGTGAATGCAGCACAGAGAATATGCAGTAAACAATAATTAACTATTCTTGATATATCATCTGACAACTCATCTGTTATAACAATCAATGATTTAATTAAGATATATATCAGACTTCTCAAACCCCATTACATGTTTCCAAATTGATTTCAGAATTAATTTTAATGCAAAATCGAATAAGGAATTACATAGATTCAAGTATCTTGACATGTTAGTTCTTAAATAAATAAGAAATTTATATGGTAAGATTAATTTTTTGCTATGATGACAGGTGTCTCTCTATTAGGAATAATACTCTACTAGTGAAAATTAAAGGAACATTTGAAAAACCTGCTCATAGATTTTAAATTTCGGACTTATTTCTAATGGCATAACTATATTTGTCCTGCAATTTAATGCAAAATTTTATTTCTGCATATAGGTTTGCACACAAAATATACAAATTAGGCAAAAGAAAATGTGCAATGAACTTACATTGGAATTCTAGTGATGTTTAAAGTTAATGCAGTTTTTGAAAGTGATCAGTCATGAAATATCCCATTTTCATAGAAATGGTTTCGTAGCTTGGGACAGAATCATCAAAAAATGGGCTAGTAACTGGTTACGGATATATGGACAAAGTCTTAATACCTAATGTAAGGTTTGTTAGAGATGCTGAATTTTTTTAATTGTACGAGGCGTATTCGCAAACTAAGTACCGTTTTTAAAAAAAAAAAAAAAATAGTAAAACAATTTTTTCAAATCCAATTTTATTTTTACATGAAAATACATGTCTTAAACTATTTTTCAACATAGTTTCCGCCAATGATGAAACACTTATAGCGGGTGACCAGTTTTTGTATACCATCGTCAAAGAAACTTCCCGCCAGTTTCAATAACCACGACTCCACAGCATTTTTCGTGTCATTGTCAGATCCAAAGCGCTTGCCACCAAGCTCGCGCTTCATGTGCAGGAAGGAACAAGTGATAGTTGGACGGCGCCGAGTCCGGGCTGTACGGCGGGTGATCGAACTGCTCCCAATGAAACTGTCGAATTAACGATTGAGTGACACCAGCAGTATGGAGTCGAGCATTGTCACGGAGCAACACAATTCCTTTACTGAGCGTTCCTCTTTGTTTGTTTGAATGGCATGCCTTAGTTTTGTTAAAGTCTCACAATATCGTGCCGCTTTAATGGTTTCACCTCTGGGAAGAAATTCAGTAAGCAAAACGCCTTTCCTATCCCAGAAGACAGTGCATATGATTTTTTGTGATGACATTGTCACTTTGAGCTTTTGTTTTTTCGGAGAATGAGTGTGTCTCCACTCCATCGATTGTTGTTTCAATTCTGGTGTGAAATGACACACCCAAGTTTCATCACCTGTCCCAATTTGGTTTAAAAAGTTTTCTCCCTCATCACTGTATCACATGAGAAATGTCAGGGCACTACCAAGTCACTTTGTTTTGTGAACATCAGTGAGCATTTTTGGAACCCATTGGGAACACAGTTTGCGATAATTCAAGCGGTCAGACACAATTTCGAACAAAACAGTACATGAAATTTGTGGAAATGCCTCTGAAAGAGTTGTCATTGTGAAGCGTCTGTTCTCATGAATTGCTTCATCAACTTTCCTTACCAAATCATCGGTGACAACAGAAGGCCGACCACTCCAAGCCTCGGCATGGACATTTGTTCGACCTGCATTAAACATTCTTACCCACTTTCTCACCATTCCATCACTTATCGCGTATTCACCATAAACTTCTGTCACTTGACGATAAATTTCGGCTGGTTTAACATTCCTTGCATTCAAAAATTTAATCAGGGCACGCATCTCACAGTCAGCGGGAGAACTAATTGTCTTAAACATTTTGAATGTGCACGGCAAACTGAAAACACAACATAGAGCAACCAAAATGGCGACAACTGAAAGTCAGTGAACAAGAAAGACTAGTGTGCATGCGCGGGACGCCTACCACAGCGCTGCGACGGCGCTAGAATGAAACGGTTCTTAGTTTCCGAATACGCTATGTACGATGCATTTTTTTTTCCTAACGAATGTTAATTCTCATCTACATCGAGCATCTCTGCTGCTGGAAACACAAGCTACCACTCAACTGAGCAAGTCACTTATTTACTAGCCTTAAACCCAACTGGGAATGTGGGAAATGCTTTAAGGCCACTGAAATACAGTTCACCAAATGCCTCTTTGGACCTCTGAGATCTAAGAAAAATACCTCCAATAGTACACAATTTCAGAAAACCTGATTAATACTTTGATAAATTCTATGAAATCAAGATGTGAGGTTTGCATTTCTGTCAGAGATGACCATACAGTATATTAAAGAAAGATTTGTTATAAAACTGGAAAAATAATTTTTCCATCTATATAAAATTTCCATAAATTTGATTTTAAATTCAAAATTCAATTTTTCAATAATTACATTTTATTTCAATCAGTGCCCCTTAATTCTGCTGAGCAATATATTAATTTTTGGGGCACTGCAACTGGAACTAAAAGCCATTCTGGCAATGGTCAGTTTTGTAAATAAATGATGTATAGCAAGGTGGCCTGCTTATATCAGATTCACATTTAATCACAAAGAACTCTTACAGGGCTACAGTCAAGGTTCTTACCAACTCTTCAAATCCAGGTCAGTCAATCATTACTGTACAACATATATCGTACATGTAGGAGCATAATCATGTTAAAATCAGAAAAAAAAGAAAACACCAAAGTGTTGCTAATACAATTAACAAAAGAGTTTAAATTATTATAATACACTTGTTTGTTCATAACTATGGAGTCAAATTCAACCCATGAGAAACAACTCCAAACCATTACACTTCATTACAAAACCTCATCCTGCGACACACATCAGTACCATTCAACACAGATTCTCCATACTTAGTGAACTGCCAAGAGAGTCCACAAAGATTCATTGTTCTTGGAAAATGTCACTATTGTCATTTATTTTAAGACTCCAAAGACATCAAAAATTTACCTTGCTGTACATAATACATGATGCTCATAGCATCAGTGTTTGATTTATATGCAACTACTCAGTCATGGAAACTTAAATATGAGCTTTCAATTAATTGCTATTGCACTAGAGTCAGAAATAAAAGCCTAACAGAATTTGATATAAATGTTTTCTGCTAATTCTATGCAATTCTGTTTCACAACACTCTCACAGACAGTGATCTACTATATCAATGACAGCTCCTATATCTTTCCATTTCCCAATGGCATCATTTACAGTGAAATGGAAACTAAGCAACAGAAAAATTTTATACATTTAGCAAAATAATTTCCCCAATCAGTTTAACAGGATCATTTCACTTACACTTTTATCCAATTGTTTTCGACATTACAATATGCTTTGCAAACTTATGTATTTCCTTTTATACCCCTCTGAGCTTCTGTTGTGAATCCCCTACCTCAAGTGCAGAGCTATGAAAATTTTAACAAAGAACTCATACTTATTTTTAAAAAATTTAATGTTTATTTTTTTATAAAACAGAAAATGCAAATAACTGTACATGAATAGGAAAAACATTATAAAAAAATAAAAACAATTAAAAATTAAAATTTTTTTTTTAATGCTAAAGAAATTATGTTAAGTAATGACTAAATTTAATTTTAGGCACAGTTTAAGGCAAAAGCTGCCACGTGTTTTCTACTTGTTTCATGTCAGTTGATCTTACAACATTCAAAGGCTGAGAGCAATGGTTTTTCAAGAATACAAATAACTTATTTATTGGCATGTTAATGGAAATATAAACAACACAATTTCATTCCATCATTTTGATGTTAAATAATTTGACACCCAAAAATAAATTCATTGAAAACAAATATCATTTTCCAGTAACTGTTTCAATTTTAGGCTATTTGCAACACATTTGGCCGAAGTTAAACAAGACCACATAAATTTCTTTAGGGAAACAAAGATTAACATAAGTATGATTATGCCACACAAAACATGTATTTATTTTTCTTGGAACATAAAAAGAAATAAATACAGAGCTTGGAAATCCGAGATAAATTTAACAAAAACAGCTCTCCTAAAAAGGTGTCACTACTGAGTACCTTCCAGTAGTATTCCGATGCTTCTGATCACAAAGTTTGCCTCAGATTATATGAAATTCTACTTAATTTCATTAAGATTTTATACTAAATAAAGAATTAAAAAAATAACACTAATGATGTTAGAAAACATTACTTTTAAAGGGAAAATAAATAGTTCTTACAATTAAAAACAAAATCTGAAACATTAAAAAATTAATTGATAATTACATTCAGAATCAATGAGTAAGCTATCAATTATGATTAACTAGTCACACAGAAATTTCATTTATGGGCTCTCTGAGCAGCTGTAACTACTCCACAGGAGAGTACACACAAGTAATTAAACTGAAATAGTAAAATCTAATTAGCAGGTCTGTAATTTCTTAAGAAATAATTGCCTTTTAAAATTAAATTACAACTAATTTTTTCCCATGATACTTACATTTTCAATATCATCTTCACCACCAACTTCATCAAACTCAATAATGTTGTCATCTTCCTCTTCTTCACCAAATGTAACAGTATCATTTATTTTAGCTGAAAAATATTTTATATATTTTAATAACATTTTAATAACAATTTAATATATTTTAATAACAATATTTTTAAAAAATCATTTTCAGTAGTTCAAAACTTAAAAAATCTGTAGAATGATTTCATTTATGAAAATTAAAACAAAAATTTAGTTTTAGCATTTTAATTGATGCTTTGCAGATTTGCTATTTAAAGAAATTATTTAATACGAACATCACGAAAACACATTTAAATATTTAATGTGGATATCATATGACTTCCTTGCACAGCCTATCAAATCATATACATTTTTTCTGCATTTCATTTAAACTTATTTCCTCAAATTTCATTAGAGATATATTTCTTATTCAACTAATTCAGTTCTCACCTCATGACAAGGCAAAAATACATAAAAACTCAAAACATCTTATTAAAAAATGTAAAAAATGAAAAACATAACACAATACATATAGTTAAAAACAGTTTAAAAAAAAATTCTACAATTCAAATTAGAGTTTCTATGCAAAAATAAGCAATTCAGCTAGTGGGCAAGAAGACAGATTTCTCGACGCACAAAATTGAAAGTTGACTTTTATTCTAACTGGGGAAAATTACACTTAAGTTGGTGTCCCAGATGACTTTAATTCACTGTTCTACTAAGAGTTTCAAATGTAAACAAATGGCGTTCACATCAGGCTTAGCACCACTTAAACTTTTAAATTGTTGATGATTCTACAACTATTGCAGGCAGATTAACTAAAGGCATAAAAACCTTAACTAGAACATACAAATATAACTAAATTACTTTCAAAGCAAAAAGTGCACATTTTACTAACATATAAGAATGCAGCCAACTGCAACCAAAAAGAGAGGCAAATAACTGCATGCTATAGCAGTACCAAATACAAAATTTCAACATTCTATGGCTAGTAATTTTTTACTTACGTAAGATACGTACATACAGATATGAAAAAAAATCTCTTCTAAATTCATTTTAAATCTATTTTACAATCTGTTTTGGAAAAAAAAAAAAAGAGTCCTGTATTCTGTCAGTACATACAGATGTCGCACAAAGCACCATTCAAATGGTTCAAGAGCAGTTGGAATGGATATTTTTATTGAAATATGATCCACGAAATTTTTCACTATTAAAATATTTTCTTTACTTTGTACAAGGAAGTAAAAAGGGAAGGAAAACTATTCTTTCAAGAACTTATTTATTTTCAGTTTTGCTCTTTTAGTTTATGCAAAGGAAATATAACGCATTTTCATACTGGGATGAATGCTTTACTATATTTAATAACACTTAGAACTAATACTAAAGCTATTATTAATTTTTTAATTAGCATACCATGCTCAGGAAGTTCTCCATATGCTTTTAAATTACGAGCTTCATCAGGATTGTATTTCAGTATAACATCTCCTTTTGAATCTTGAAAGTCTCTTAATCCAAGAAGAATTATATCACCTTGATTAATCCAAACCTACATTAAAAAGGATGTGGGAACTAAATATGAGATTGACACTTACTACAGAATATTGAACAAGTACTACATGAATTGAGGCCCCAGTATACATAAAAAAGCATGCCTTCAACTAATTTTCTACATTTATGTATTTTAATCTTGATACAATCTGCAAGAAGCAAAGGCATAAGAAGCAAACATACAAGAATGTACTTTAATCCATGAGAAATATTCGCACTTATTTCCCATATTTAAAGATTCATAAACCATGAATCTATCAAAAGAGTTATAATAAATTTTACAAGAAGTAAGACACGTTGATATATATAATATATTGGGATATATGCTTAAGACCTATAACTGACATTTAAATATCCAGAACTCAAATAGTAAGATGTTCATTTATTGTAAAAGCATGAAAATTGCAAGTCCTGTGCTTGATCAGTGAATTGTATAGCAGGTTCACAAAGCTCTGAAAAATGCCTATAAACGCTTCCATTTGGAGCTTTCACTAAATGATTATGATAAATTTACCAATACCAACTGGTAACAGTCAATTTTGTTTCATTGTGAAAGGTGTGTTTTTTTAATTTGTTATTTGCTGGACATATGAGATTGAAAATATTCTAGCAGTCATTATTTATCTTCAATAATTTTATAAAATTTAATTTTTAAGTATTATCAGTTGCAATTATTGCTGTTCTATGGAAATGAAACAGGAGATTAATCAGCATCCTGAGGCAACAACTCTACATTACTACAGTCAATACTCACTTAAATTTGTTCTGACTAAAGCAACCATTCATTATATCTTTTTTTCAGTAGGATGCAAGGAATTGCTATATCAAGCATCAACCATAATATTATAATTGCCTGACTCTATATTTCAGTTATTTTATCTGCTGCATTTATCACAAAATTAATAATATTCTTAAATGAAGAATTTAAAAGCATCCATTAGACTTCCTCATACCATTTGCTCCTGATGAAGAAGAATATATGTCTGATTGCCCTCAAAATCAATATAGTTTTATTCAAAATACATACCAAAGTAAGGTTGCTTTTTCTTCATTTAAAATTTCAAAATTAAAGTGTGTTTTTTCCAATTCAATGTACTGATATAGTTTCAACATAGTTGTCTACAATCAAAGTTTTTTTTTTATTTTATTTTATTTTTTTAATATACAAGTTACAATTTAAGCATAGTTCTTTTATGAGATCAGCCACAACAGTACCAAATCAATCTTAGGACAGGGATGCCCACCCTGTAGCTCATCAGCCACATGTGGCTTGCGCAACTTTTTGATATGGCTCTTATTGCAGGTCTGGTCCCTTTTTAGTCTCGTGAAGTACCAAGAGAGGAAGCAAAGATTAAATTTCAGTCGTGTCATACACACCGAAGGTAAATCTTCCTCAAGGGACTTCGATTCGACACATTATATTTTAGCAGACGTTGCATGGCAATGTTCCTCTCAGCATTCAATATGTCATCACTTACGTCATAGTAGGCTGCTTCAGATTGAATAGAATCAGCATTCTGGTAAACCGATTCTTGAGGATTAGCTTTTCCATGCAACATCTATTTACTTTCTAGCAACATCGTCAGCCTCTTGCTGTAGCCTCCATTAAACGCATATCAATGAACATAAAATGAATTTTCAAATTTGTACATGAAGTAGCTAATTTGGTGGTTTCATAAAGGTATAAAAAATATTCATTTCTTCTATATGTGTTAATCATTAGTTTTAACAAATGCTAATGGTTTTGCCTTAAATGTGTCATCACATGAGTCAGAAAAAAAGTACCTACAATGATAATTTTAACCATGAAGAGAAAGAAAAATATGTTTCCATTAATTTTAAATACAAATGTATTGGTTTGATTTACGGTTCAACACAGTCTATTGGGAAAAAATTCCTTTGGATCAACTTACCAGCGTGAAAGTGGTTTTTCAAAAATGAATTTGTCAAAATTAAAGTTCAGATTCAGGAGAACAAATGCACATTCAAATGACTGCATGAATTGAGCCATAACATCACATGTACCAGAGTATAGTAAATTTCCAGAAGATGTGTAGAGTAATGACATGCAGACTTCATATTAAAATATGCTTTTCCTGCATTTAATTTGCATCTTAATGAATTTTTAATAAATACTACAGCACAAAGTATGACATTTAGATGTCTAATACTAGAATGTTTTAAAATCCAAACCTCCAAACCACCAGCAACTTTTTTTTGGGGGGGAGAGGGTGCATGTATGCTTTACATAGTCACATTTTATATTTTTCATAGTAAAACATGTGGAGAATTCCACTTGCTAATTTCACTTTGGCATTAAATAAAATATTTCCATATTGAAGAAACAATATTTTATTAGCATAACTCTGTATGATCAATAATCTGGCTCAACTGCCTTTTTCCTTGGCACACATCTCACTGAAACATTTTACATCAATTTTATGACTCATGAAAAATTTTTATCCCTGGCACTAACCTGGTGAATCATTTATAATTTGTCTTCTTTCATCACTGCATGACTATTAGCAGATGACAACTTAAAAATATTACTCAAGCAGCAATGTCAAAAAAAAAAATTTTATATACATATTAGTAATTGAATACCAAAGAAAATGGTAACCTTTTATGCTGACATTATGCTTGGCGATGATTATTTGCTTGGCTAAGCGTGCTATGAAGTGTTGAGCATCTTGCCAAGAGAAATTTAACAGAAATTTCTTTCAATATGCAAAAAATATGTTTTGTAAATGATATTCATACACGAAAAGGTTATGTTTGAACTGAGAATAACGCGTCAGAGCTAATATGGCTACATTGGGTTCAGAATTTAGCGGTGGCAAAAATTTTTTAATGTAGAGGCATTTCAATTAGAGAGCAACAAAATTACAAGAGAGAAAATCTTTAGAATTTAGGGTAGGCAGTGGAATAGAAAATTTAGCTAGAGCAAAATTTTCATAATTTAAAAAGATGCTTGCCAGCAGAATTTAATACCTGAATAGACTCAGGCTGAATATGTCTAGCACCAGCTTTGGATAAGCCTTAAGTATATGAGGGAATTTATTTATTTATTCAGGAATCACAAGTTTTAAATATGCACAGGAAATATGCATGTGTATTATAAATAACTAAACTGATTAAGGCTTAACTTCGTCAGCACGCAATAGAAGCAAGACAAAATTTAGCTGAATAATATTTTTAGTCTCAAATCTCATTATACATTGCTAGTGTTCCTATACAGTGTATAGGGATGCTAACTAAGCTGTACAATGATACCGCGAATTTGAAGGTTTTCAGGTATTGCAAACAAAAAGCAACATTTTCCAACTGATGGAATTTGTGGAGAAGTGATAATAAATAAAAATGATATAACAGAAGATTTTCCATTTCGATTACAATGCCCCAATCATCAATCAACTGATGAATGGCAAAATCTGTAACACAGTTCTAAAAAGAAATATTGCTTCCAATAGTGAAGATAGTGACAAACAAGTTGTTGAGAGAGAAACAACTTCATCTGAAAATACAGTGGGAATTCAAAATATGGCAATTACAAGACTGTAACAAAGGAACTAACTAAAGAAGAAATTATATCTATCTATAAAATTTTTTAAAAAAAAAAGTATTATTACAAAAAAATGAAGCGACTTGCATTGAAAGAAATGTTTAAAAAAGCAAACAATTAAATATTTAGCTTTTTTTTTTGTTGTTGTTTGTAAATTTTGATTCCCTTATGATTATATGCTTTATTATTTCATAAACCACTACTTCATATTTTTAATTTTATAATTTCTACATGTTATCTTGCTAGATTTAAACTGATTATCTAATACCCAGAAAAATCCTAAAACCAGAATCACTGAAATACCAACAAGTACTTCAATACTCAAACTTTGTATCTTAATATAAAATGCAAACAACATATAATTGTGACTTGCCTTTTTTTTTTTTTTTTTTTAATTCTAAACTAGCTCACATCAAGTTAAAGGCTGAGCAGCAATGTTTTATCAGCAAGTTATAAAGTCACCCAACTAGGATCTATAAAACTAAAAAGTTTCCACAATAGCTGGATCACTTAGTTTACAAACTTATATGAAAACTAGCAAAACTAGATTTTGAATCAATGAAGCAAATGAAATTGTAAAAGTACCATTTTCAAATATATTCAAAATCTGAATTCAGATGTCCAATAACCAAAATCATCTATTATCCAGACATGTGAAGAACATGATATACAGATTATTCAGGATGAAAAGATTTAAATTGACCTTTTTACTGGAAATTCTCGACATGGTAATTATGGGGCTTTCAGAACAAGTCAATAACTTGGTACCTAAACAAGAAATTATGTCTTTCTGTAAAATTAGAGAAGATGATGGAATTTTGTTCCTAAATAAGAAATTATGTCTCTCTATAAAAAGACACATAAGATGAGTTTGAAAGACTTATATTGAAAGAAATATTCGGGAATATAAAAATATATTTTAACATTAAGCTTTCTATTACAAAGCTTGGTGTCTTAATGTCATAAATGCTTTATTATTTCATAAACAACCACTTCATACTTTTCAATTTTACAGTTTCCATATGTCATCTTACCAGATTTAAATTGATGGTTTATAATTCAGAATTTCTAAAGTTTTGAAAATTCTAGATCTTGGATTATGTACTGTGCCATGTATTAGTAGGCACACTTAGCGTTTGGAACAAGCTTAGGCTCGAGTTTGATACTCGATAATTTTTAGTCGAGTACTCAATACTCGAATCAAAGCCCGACGGGCTTTCGAGCTCTGTACATACAAAATGTTTTTCGTTCTGCATTTTATTTTTAATTTATTTGACAACATATTTCTTAAGAATCCTGGAAGACATTTTATTGGTGTCATAAAACTGCTCCTTTTTAAGTACATAAAAACTAAAAACTTTTGTAATTGTATTACAGGTAAGTAAAGTTAAACAATAAAAGGATTATAAATATATACAGTAAAATAATGCCAGTAT